GAATTTGGTAACTTAAAGTTTCAATCACTTAACATAATTAAAGATTGAATCTTTAGTACTTGGAAGCCTCAAAGAACAACAATTTCACACTTAATGCAATTAGTTTGCAATTATGTGAAAAATAAAACCAAGCTTTCAAGCACAAATTACCACCAAGTAATCATGCGTAAAGAGGTTTAAAATTGCATATAAAATATGTATTGAACCAATTACATAACCACCATAAATATGCAATTAATTTTCAAGGTTAGAAAGACTTAAAATTTTTCGTAAAAACGAAAAGTCCCTCGAAAAGTGCATTTATGGTCGTTTTTTGGCTAAAAACCGTCCCCTTGAAAAATAAAACCATCTCCAGAAATCTGGGTTCGGGGCTGATGATAGCTTTAATACGAGGTTAAAATAAATAAAACGAGCTACTAATCTAATTAGCACTTCAAGACCAGAAAAAATAAGCCATAAAAACACCTTGAAAAATACTATGATTTTAAAAATAAACGAGCGAGGCTTCGATACCGCTGTTGGGGTTTGGTAAGTCCAACTTACCGCAGAAACAATCCCGACCCAAAGAACCACTCGCAATTAAGAAAACCATAAAGCATAACAAATAAACATAAAAGGATAAAATCGGAATTTACCTTTGTAGTGTGCTTCACCCTCAAAGTCGGGCTCTTACTTGAAAGCTTTAAGCTCCGAAAATACGCAAGCCTCCTACGGAAGTCCACCCGCAAAAACTACTAGCGACTTTTAGGACCGTTACCTCGAGGTTAGCGAGGTCCGACCAAAACCCGAGTATTATATGAGTTTAAGAGTTTTTGCTAATGCAATGCTCTATTGAACTCCTACTCAAGCACTCTTCCCAAAAACCCAAGATGGGTATTTATATGCAAGAGGGAGAGTGGGAATTTGTATCCCATCAATGTGGGAGTCATGAAATTCCACAATTTATTTTAAAGCTAAATTAAAATAAATAAGCAAACTAATAATAAATCTACAAGTGGCATTATCATATGTAAAGGGTGGTGAGGACCACATGGAGAGTAGGGGACCATACTTGCTCCCCACTCAATACTCTCCTTGTGCCATATGTCCCTCACCCCACTTGCTTCCATATGCTCCCACTTGCTTCCCCTAGTACTCGACCCTATGGCCCAGCCACAGCCCGGCCGAGAGCCCTGCCCCGCACTTGATGTTGCGGGCTGCTGCTATGGCTAGCAAGCCACGCACACAAGTGCGAGCTGTTGGCCCCCTTGCGTGCGCTGCTAGCTGCTGCTAGCACGCAAGGCTTACGGCAACTAGCTGCTGCTAGCACGCATGCTTGCGGTTGCTAGCTGCTGCTAGCATGCGTTGCTTGCAGCTGCTAGCTATGGTGCGCTAGCACGCACCATCCGGCCAAGCATGGCTTGGCTTGGTGCGCTTGCTAGCCACCTATGCTAGGATTTTTGCCCCTAGCACTCGGATGCTCGGGGCACTCCAATGCTAGGGTATTTTGGGAAATATTGGCGATTTATTATTATTTGCGCGTCTCGTTATTTACTATTTTTGACTCGACTTCCGACGCTCAGTTTCTACCCTCTAAGCTCGAATTTCCGACGTCTAAATATTTAATACTCGGGCGACGAATTAATTTTTTCCGAATTAATTCGTCGAGTCGGTTCGTTTACTGCTAAGGGTGTGACCCAAAGGGTTCAGTCAAGATTAAGCTGTAATATTAATTATGCATTGATATTACTGATTGGAAGCGGCTTCCACCTAGGCATTCCGATCACTTGACCTTACTGAATATATTAGCTTTCTAATAATTCTGAACCCACTAACGGAATAGTACACTTGTTCGAAGGACACCATTCCTTTCAGTATGATCAATCCAAATTTATTAACATAAATTCTGTTATCACTTCATAGATTTAGATAAATTTGCATGTGTTGTTATTTCTCAGTATATGGCTTTTTAATTTTCTTTATTATATAAATTGTGCATGCTTAAAATTACTAATTTAAGTCTGTAAAACATCTGTTTCAAGCATGCAGTATGAAAATTTAACTTTAAAATCATAAAAAGCTTAAATATTTTTAGGGAATTTGCATAATCAAAAGTGTGTTTTGAGTATCTACAGGTGCATGCACAATCATCTTTCATTTATGTATTTTTAACATCAATTTAAGGTATGCAAACTGATTTATAAATCATATACATTAGATGTTGTACAATAGGAGCACACGACTGATGATATTTTCATTTCTAACATTATGCATGCATAACAATGGCTAATTTTAATTTGCAAAACATCCATTTCATACATGCAATGTGATACTTGTACATTTAAAACAAAAAAAAAAAATGGAAAACTTACAGAATTAGATTTGTATTCTGAATTTGTACATGATGCATGCATAATTATCTCTGATTTCTTTTTTTTTAACATCAAGTAAAGGCATGCAAAATGATTTAAAAATCATATAAGTTAAATATTGTACAAAAAAACAACAGACTGATAATATTATATTTCAAACATTTTGCATGCATAAACCTGAACAAAAACTCTTTCACTTAAGGCATGCAGCATGAAACAGGCTTATAGCATTTAAACAGATTTTCTTTGATCATATATTTTAGTTATTTCAAAATTATCAAATAGAGAACATTTTCATGGCGCCACAACGAAAATTCCTAGATGAAATCGATACAACTACAAAAAATTTTAAGGTCAAAGTAAGGGTTGCAGAAAAGGGTCGTCCACAAACATCAGAAAAAAATACACGATATTAGTGTATATTTTTCGAAGATGACAAGGTATATCGATTTAATTCTACATACATTTTGAAACTCAACATTCAATTTGCACAAATTAATGAAAACACTCGAAAAATGAACATCTTCTTGCTTGTTACAGAGATGAAGATGACACTTTTTGGTGACCAGATTCAAGCATAATGGGATTTTAGTAGTTTCAGAGGAAATTATGAGATGGCTGATGCTGTAGTAAGGAACTTGGATGCACAATGGAGAGCCAGAGAAGATGACCTTCCATTTCATTTGTCATTAGGAAGCAAGACTGTTATTCGGTCTTTGGATATTAAAGGAGAATCAATTTACCCCAGATATCAAACATTTGCTTCTATTCCAAGCATCCCTGTTGATGATGATAGACATGGTGAACAGATCATATGAATTACATATACAACCATATAATTTGTCAAATACATTAAAGTGGCATAATACAAAATATAAATATTTAGTGTGATTCTTTTTTGGTGTTACAGATATAATTGTGTTAGTTCTTTATGTATCAGAAGAACCGAGAAGAACAGTGACATCATCTAACAAAGAGACATCCGTTCGAGATCTTATAGTGATAGATCACAGGTAATTGCTATTAAAGACTGACTAATATCTTTGCATTCATTTCATTTCATGTTATACTAACATAAAGTGAATATTAAAAATCCTCTAATTTCAGTACTGATCAGCCAATGAAAGTATGCACTTGGAATGACCTTGCTGGAGAACAATCTGAATCAATTGTCTCAAACAGTGACTCTTTCAAAGTAATTGGTATCACAGCTTTACAACCTATTACTCGACAAGGTAAGATAACAACTTAGATCATATTTAAATTTTCAAATGATAAACACATGTAAAATATCAGAATCGCGGAATGAGTATTGACATTCTTCAAATGACAGGATTTTCGCTTGAATCAACCATGTCAACTTTCATCCTGTAGGATCCCCAAGGTGACAAAGCAGAGGCTTTAGCCGAATGGTACAGTTTTGAAGAATTACTTTTCCTAAATATTGAAAATGTTAGCATAGTAATGTCTTGAACACAAATTCAAAATTTCAAGAGAAACCCAAATTGTAATTTCTGTGATCTGAATAAAGCACAAATTGATATTCCAACTGTTAGTTTGATCTACTAATAATAGTTTGAATGTTGAAGTTTTTCATAATATTGTATATATAGTAATTTACAAAACCATAAATTCTTGACAATTTTTTGTTCTTGAAAAAAAAGGGCAAAGAGGCATCGAAGTATGCTAATCAATGAACAACACAGAATCAAGGAAGCCTTCAATCCAACAACAGAAAGAACTGTAACAACTATTGGTCGCCTGAAAGCCAAGAAGGTACATTTTTGCAGCATACCTTTAAAATGATTAACAATATCAATACGCATAGCAAGCACTATTTCAGAATATGTTAATATCTAACATTATAATAACCTTGGTTTATATATTTACAATGCAGTCAGCAGGTACACTTCCACAAGAAGTGTTTTGGTTAAATGTTGTAACTACTGATATAGAATTTGAAAGATTAAGAGCATATATAGGATGCTCCCACTGTGGAAAGCGAAAAAAACTTGCTCTCGAAACTGTCTACAGTTGCAAAGCATACTCAAGGAAAGACATACATGCTGCTCACAGGTATAATAATCATCAAAATAGTAAATTCATTAAACTTTTCAACGAGAATGTTGTTATACATCAAATCACACTAACACTATTGCTTACAATGAGCAGGACAACCGTAACTTTCAATGTCTCTGATAGAACTGGATCATTGGAACTCACTGCATTCACTGATGTTTGTGATAGGCTTTTCCGAATGCCAATTCAGGAAATCTATGAAATGAAAATAATGGTATACAACATATATTTCAATAATTATCATCTCATTATATAACATTAACTTCACTACATACTACAAATCACTAGTGGAAAAATTCTCATTCGTAACGGGCAAAGCTTTTCCCGTTACAATTAAGATATTCGTAACGGGCAAAATAGTGTCCGTTACGAATACTATTTATTCGTAACGGGCAAAATAGTGTCCGTTACGAATACTTATTTATTTGTAACGGGAAAAATAGTGTCCGTTGCGAATACTTATTTATTCGTAACGGGCAAAATAATGTCCGTTACGAATAAGTGTATTCGTAACGGACACTATTTTGCCCGTTACGAATACTATAATACAGGTAACAAATGCCCAAATGTGGCCCAATTGATGAAAGGAGCCCAATATTTGGTTTTTTAGGGTTAGCCGTCATTCACCTCTTTCTCTCTCATCAGTCCCTCACTCCCTCTCTTTCTCCTCTCCTCTCCTCCCCGTCATGGCGTCATTCACCTCTTTCTCTCATGTCTATATTTATACATATTCTTCCGCCATGGATGTACAAGTCAAGCAAGAATACGAAGTTCTCTTCCAACGAATGCGAGACAAAGCCGTCAATACTGCTACTCCGTCTTCGGCGCCTGCTCCCGTCATTGATTTTAGCGACGACAATGACACCGGCGATGTTGGTGCCGAGAAAAGAGCTTTGAGTTCCTTTAATGGCAGTTTTCCGGCAAAGAAGCAGAAGGTTGGTGATGGTTCTCTTCCGCCGGGGTTTTTCGATCCTATTCCGCCGTTGCCGGAGTCTTCTTTGCTACTTTCACCGCCGTTAGCGGCGGTTCCGTTGAGTTCGCAGGGGAATAAGCAGTTTTGGAAGGCGGGTGATTATGAGGGTGCTCCTTGTGCTAAGTGGGATAATAATACAGGTTTTTTTTTTTTCTTCTGGGTTTGATTTAATTTTTGTTTTTTTTCAGTTAGTTTGTTTTTAGGTTTTTTGTTTCTTGGTGTTGTGTGATTTTTGTTGATATTAAAGTTAATGTGTGACAAATTCGTTGCTTGAAGATTTAGAATGTTTTTAATTGAAAGTTGATCTAGGGTTCTTTGAGTTCTTTACCGAAATCGATCAATTTATCCCCAATTCGTTCATTTTTAGTGGTAATTTATGGGTTGTTGGTATATAATCTCTGTTAATCGGTTTGTTGAAGTGAGAATTTGGGTATTGGTTATCGATTCTCTATGCAAGGTTTATTCTTTCTGCATTCTTTGGTGTTTTAATCTGATAATTAGTGTTTCTTTAAGGCTAATTAGTGTAGAATTAAGATTTTGTCAACAATTGTTGTGTATTGGTAAGTACCCGTTTCTGGTGGTGCTTCTTGCGCCGTTATTGCTGATTGTTGATGCTATAGTTGTTATATAAGCTGTTGCGCGTTCCTTCTTTTCTCTAATGTTGTTGGTGATAAATCTAAAATGGGTTCATTTCTTGGTTAAGCAGGTTTTTGTTTGAGTGTATAATTCTGTGTGTGCTTGATTCATTTTTGGCTGCGCGTTCCTTCTTTTCTCTAGTGTGTGTTTGATTCTTTGGTAAGCCTTAATCTTAGCAGTAATCTCATTTGGAGTACTATCCCATAACAGATTTCTCAGATCTACTAGAATCCCCTCCTTTCGAAGTATATGCATGTAGGGAATAAATTCAAGCGTCAAACCCTAGCTTAAACCCCACTTTGATCATACACTAAAGTACGGTGGCGTCCAAAAGGGAAGAAGATAGAGCAAAAGAGTCGCCAACAAGTTTTAGGAACTTGTAAACCGTTCACAGGGTGAAGGTTACACCCTTTAACGATCCAGGAGATCGTCAACTCCATAAGGTCTAGAACCAAATAAGGGTTCGGGGATGAAGGTACAAATCCAACCTAAAAGAGATTGAACCTGCCCTAATAATAGGCCTCTACTTTATTCTGATCGTATTCATGTGCGCTTTTTAATTAACATACAATCAATAGGATTAACCCTAAACCTGTTTATCTATGTTGGTTGAATTTAATGCACAAATAAATCAATAGGATTATAATCACAATTAACCCTAAACAAGATTATTAATTATCTTATTAAGCATGATTACAAGTACAAATTCCCTTTAAACATGCATAAAATGTGTGATCAAGCAATAAATAATTCCAAGCAACGTAATAAATAATCAATAAATAAATAATAATAATAATAATCATAATAACAGTACAATTAAAGATAATCATAATAATCATGTTAAAGCATAATAATAATAGCAAGATCCTAGGCATGATACTAACAAGATTAATAACAAACCCTAGCATGTCACTAAGCAATAAAAAATCAAATCTTTAACCCTAACATGATACTAACAATCATAAATATTAGGAAGAACATAAGAAGCATCGCAAGAATCATAATAAGCATATTTAATATTAAATTACCCTAGACATGATACTAGGAATATCATAATAACAATATAAACATGATATCTACATCATAATAACAATAAATCATTAAAGTATTTACTTTGATGCCTCGTACCTCTTTCTAATAACAAAATACACACGTTAGTAACTTCAAGGAAAATAATAAATCGAACAATTAAATTAAATAATTGAAAGAGAGATTTGGGACCAAACCCTCAGAAATTAAACCTTTCACGTCTAGGGCGAAGGCAACTTCGAATATGGCTAGGTGTTTCTAGATCTAATGAATGCGGAATTTTGTATGTAAAAGCAAGGTTTAGAAAAAAGGAGAGAGAGATGAATGAATGAATTGATTGATGAATGATTAAGAGAGAATTAGAGAATTAATGATTGCGAATGAAAACTGATTGTAGGTGAATATAGATGAATGTTGATTAGAATCGGTGGAAATTTGTGAATGAAACGGAGTTTTAATACGTTATTTATAGAGAAAATCAGCCAAAAAGATAAAATAAACAAAACAGAGTCTGACGCACAAAAAACAGAGCTGGCGCAAACCCTGGCTAACTGGCGCCAGACACCAACACTAGCGCCAAGCGCCAGGCCTGGTTCTAGGCGCCAATGCCTAGAGTCAGGCGCCAAGCCCGGTTTTAACGCGTTTTCGAAAATCAAATAAGTTTGTCGCACTGGAGGATAAAATCATATAATTTCCTCGAAAATGCTATTCGATTTTAATTAAAACTCTGAAAAGTCAACAAAAAGTCAATTTATCAATGCCAATTGAATTAGGAATGAAAAAGAACCTTTTAGAAGAATCTAGAAGACTAAAACCATTCCTAATTGCTTTAGGAATGATAAATCATATTAGGCCCTCCTCTAGATCATTGGGCCGTACATAAGGCTCAAACCGGGCCCAGTTTAGTAAATTGACCATAACTTCATCAATATTCATCGGAATTGGGCTTATAATATATTGTTGGAAAGGTCTTGTTAAGCCCCATCCAACTACACTACTATTGGACCCATATCATGGACCAACCAAACTGGATTGACTGTTTTCTTAAAATAAGTTTTCAAAAACAGAGAGAAGAGAAGAGAAATTAAAATTTATCCGCAACACTAAACTTTCCACACTTTCACTTTATTCGATTATGATTCGACGTGAAAGGTACTCATCACTGGGTTTGGTTTTGGGGAGACACATATGGGTGTCTACAGAATCCCCCACTTTGACTGAGTTTGGAGAAACACAAGTTTCGAAAACAAAAGTCAAAGTATCGATAGGGACGGAGAATGGTTCAGAACGTTCTGCGATCCTAAACCACTCTTGTAACGCCGATACCTTCAAAACTAGCATTAGTTAAACAGATAAAAGAGTTAAGAAACGAATATCTTGCACCGTCGAGCACACGTCTCTGAAAGTAACCGATTTGCTACCGCTTTGCTGATTTGATGACCTCCCGCAAGCTAGAGAATGCCATCCCGCTTGAAAACTGCTACGCTTGTAACTGCTTCCAATTTGAAGATTGCTTCGCCTGAAACGATCCTCCTCCGCTATGATAATATTCCACGTCCAAGGGAATATCATCCAAGATTATTTCTCTTGAAACAATCCTCATCCGCATTGATAATATTCCACGTCCAAGGGAATATCATCGAAGATTATTTCTCTTGAAATCACCTTCAGATGTTTATGACAACTCTCTGGAAACTAGGGATTGCCGTCGAAGATATCCTCGCCTGAAGTCATCCTCATTTGATGCGATAATTTTCCTAAGGAAATTACCAAAGACCTCCATCTGTCGATCTTTAAAAGTTCGCCTTAACTTTGCTTCCGCTATGTCTGTACGAAGATGCTTTTTTTCGCTTTTGAACCTATATGTCGGTGCTTTTGTTGACGAGCCAATGCTTAGGCGCTTTATGCTAAGTGAGACGATCTTTCATCAGGTCGATCACTTTACGTAATCAAGCCGATTACTAAATCATGTCAAATTGCTTAGAGGGGCTAACTGGCGTACCAAGGAACCCAAAAATATGTTGCAGAAAGGTAGAACAACCTCACCAAGCAGCTGGGTGTTCTGGCGCCACTAAAAAGCCATCAGCGCCACACAATTAGCCTTAGCGCCAGGCGCTGAGATTGGCGCCAGGCGCCAAGCTTAATATTTGACGCCAATGCCTAGGGCTTGGCGCTAGCACGGGGATTTCCTTAAATACCCCTTTCTTCTTCATTTTGCTGTTTGCTCGTCGCGAAACTGCTCGAAAAAAACAGAAAATTTCATTTGCTTCGTTCTTGCTCGTTTCGCAACCGAATTCACTCAAATTCGTTGAAAATCAAAGCTCTTTTCATCTATTTTCCCGATCTATGTCAGTTTTCTTCAAACTCACATTAGTTTTTATGAATTTTTAACATGTTTATTCACGAATTTCATGTAAATTCAAAATTAAAAATGCTCAATATGCTTTGTTTGTCAAGTTTTATGCCATGAAATTGCTTGATTATGTTTATATATTGCCTTGGGAGTAATTTGAGAGTTGTTTGACTCAATTTGGTGAAGAAATGAGCAATTTGCCATTGTTGGACCTCCTAAGGTCGTGAAGAACAATGTGACTTGTTCTTGATGTTTTTGTTAGCAATTCTTGTCCAATTTGTCACAATAATCACTATAGTGTTGCAAGAAATTGTGTGATTGCTTGAAAAATGCCGTATATGCTCAATTTGAATTTGTGCACTGTTTTAGTACTACGTACTCTGTTTTTTTGCGAACATAGTATCATGCGGCTAGGCGAACCTTAGATACTATAGAACCTTAATTTATGATAATTCTGCACAATGTAGCATGGATAGACAGCGAGACTCGGGTTCACGGTCCCGAAACACCAGATGGGAGCATGAGCCCGTAAAGGATGACGTCACACCTTCCACTTCGCTTGGTCGGCTCCCTGAGTGGGATGAGCAGACCATGTTCTTCGCCCCCGTCCACTATATTTCTGAGAGGGTGAGACGAGGCATCACGGTCGGGAGGACGCGCTATCACGGTTCCGGCTGTGATGGTTTAGGCGATTTGTACAAGATGTACATTGCCAGGGATCAGGAGAGGAGACTCCTATGGGAGTCTTGCGGACTGGCTACCCTTTTCGAGACCTCCGAGGCTATGGTTGCCTCCAGCGGTGGCCACCATATAGTGCGTGCTTTGGTGGAGTTCTTCTGGGACACCACCAACACTTTCCACTTCCCTTGGGGCGAGATGATGGTCACCCCTACGGACTTCAGTCTCATTACAGGACTGGAGTTCAACTCTGTGCCACTGCCGTTCGACAGTGGAATCGACGTTTTTTCCGCGGAGGTCGGAGGAGTTGTTGGGGCCGATCGCTATTTGGGCCCGAGCTGAGGTCGAGACGACTCAGTTTAGGGCTAGGGGAATTCGCTGCTCGACGATGGCGGCGGCTTTTGATGATGATGCGACCACCCGAGAGCAGCGGGTGCGTATCTTTGCGCTGATGTTGTTGTCAGGGACATTCTCCCCTGACAAAGGTAGTAGGGCGTTGCTTTACTACCTTCCTGCTGTCCGCGATCTTCACCGGATCGGGACTTATGATTGGGCCAGCTTGGCTTACGCTGACTTCGTTCGTGCACTGAGGGACTCGTGTCGGCACCGATCCTTTGGGACGAATGTCGCTTTGTCTGCCTTTTGGAAGGTCATAGAGGTAAACATTATTCCCTATAAAGTTTAGCTCTACCTTTTAGCTAGCATTAACTCACAATTTAAACTCCTTGCTGATCTGGTTCTACGAGCACTTCCCCTCTGCTGCGCCGGCGAGACCATAGCCGCGCGGATTTCTAGTGAGCGCCTCTTGGGGCGGCTGCCATATGGATGTGTCTACTACACATGTTCGGAGCTGAATCATGGCGGTACGACTTTTTATTATTTATTTGTCTGCTTTTTACGACACTTTAGATATACTCTCGCCTGATTGATGTTCTTTGTACGGGCCTGAGGTGGTGTACCAGCCATGGGGCGGCTGGACAGACCCTGGGTTAGCCGCACAGTATTCTGCTGAGCGTCGCTATTTTCTGGGGACTTATGGGGCGATCGCGTACTTAGGAGAGAGGGTTGCTAGACAGCATTCCTCTGATGTCTTCGTCGTTCCTTCTGCTCCACCACGTCATATGTTCGACGACGCGTGGTTGTTGAGCATGTCTGAGGGAGCTGGTACCCCTTGGCGGTTCTATGTGATCCCTGGGCAGTGCTATGATGAGGAGCTACTGCCGTTGTTAGCTCCAGCCCCCGTACCGGCTGAGGATGTGAGGGTAAAATTTTTCAGCTTTTACTTTCCATTGAGTAGCCCCCAAGTGATGTTTTCCTGACTTTTTGCTTTATCAGGACGGTGCTACTGAGTTCGTGCCACCCCGTATGTCCATCCATTACCAGGGGACATATGGGCCGATCGAGGAGATGATTCCTCCGGCTCTCGAGGACGAGCGCTTTGTAGAGCGGTCGATTCCTCGCCACCAGACTTGAGTAAGCTTAGTTATTCACAATATTTTTTGTTCATATATCATGCACATTTACTGACTTATTTCTCTGACAATTTTCGCCCGAGGTGGTTTCGGCGATGGCACGATGTATAGATGCCTTCCGGAGCCAGCTCGTCCGGATGAGGAATGCAGCCACCTGTCGTCGGGACGACGTCATTCGAGAGGTAGTCTTTCTTTACATCTTTTTTTGCATTACCGCTTCGATTTTGCCTTATTTCTGATTTCATTCTTTTTGCAGGGCCAGCCTATTGCTTCTCACACTCGCACGAGACCTGAGGTAAGGAGGGATCCCGCAAGGTCTAGCTCGAGACGCCGTCGTACTACGTCAGGGGGTAGAGGCGGTCGCTCTGAGGCTGCTCGTGCTGACGTTGCAGAGGGATCGAGATCTTTTTCTGAGGGTGCTCTTGCTGCACTGGTAGGAGAGGCTACCTCGGCTTTCAGAGGTGGTAGGATGTACGAGGTAGGCTCGTCATCGCAGCAGCCTCCGCAACCTCAGCCTCAGGTTGATCCTGGGTGGAGTGGTCCTACATTGAGTTTTCCTCCTCCTGCGGAGACTGGAGCTGGAGCTGGAGCTGGAGCTGGAGGTGGTGGAGAGATGACTCCTCGTACGGCGCAATTTTATAATATGATGGGTATAAGTCCTCCGGCGCCGTAGTTTGTTCCTGTGATTTTTTATTTTGAATTTTTATAGAACTTTGCCTTAGACTCATTATTTTATAGACACATTTTGTATATTTATGCTATTATGAATTTATTTTGTTTGTTATTATTATGTGTATGTTTGTGCGTGCGAGAGAAGTGTGACAAACAATTTTGCGCCAAAATTCCATCATTTTTATTATTGATGGAAGGTATCCGACTTTCTCCCCCAAAAGAAAAAAAAATAAAAAAGGAAAAAATCAAATAAAATGTCGGGTGTATAGAAAAAAAAACTTGGAGATTAATTTAAATAAAGTCCAAAAAAAGAATAATATAATTAATATAGGAGCTATTTTAATTAATTAAGAAAAAGGATAAAAAAGATGTTTAGGAAAGATAAACGGAGCCATAAAGTCATTAGCCGACTCGAGTTTAGGATAAAAACGCAAGTTAAGCAAGCGCGCCTGATGTGGCAACTTGGCGCCAGCTGGCGCCACACAATGGCGCGTTGCGCCAGGCGCTTCACTTGGCGTGTGGCGCTGACGGCTGGCGCCAATTACAGAGTTCGACGCTAATTGGCGCTGATTCTGTATTTCACTCTGATTAAAACTTCTCGCGATTTGTGTATAAATAGCCCCCTGCCCAGCCGATTCTTCTCATAATTCCAGCAAATAAAATAGTTCTTTGCCTTAGAAAAAATAATACCATGTCTTTAGTCACCAAAACTTTCACCCAATACACTCATGAATGGTGTCGATCTCTTAATGCTAGAGAAAGAAAAGAATTAGATTTGTTCCACTTGGGGGGAATTTATGGCATCAAAGGGATAGATCTTGACTTAGATTTCATACATACCGCTCTAGAATTTTGGAATGTTGATACTCATTGCTTTAGAATAGAGTATGATGATATTAGCCCTTTGCCAGAAGAATTTGGTGCTATTTTAGGCTTCCCTGCAATAGACCTTATGGTAATCCCTAAAGTAGATGCATATTATTATAAGGATTTCGAGCGCTTCTTTAATTTAAAAGAAAGGGATTTATCAAAAATAGTAGATGGCAACATAGTGAATTTGAAAGAATTTGCACGCCATTATTTTGATAAACCTCAATCTGAATCTTTTCATATATATAGAAGAAGGGCGTTCTTATTTTGCATGCTTAACCAATTTTTTCTTAGTAGTGGTAAAAATAATGAAGACCAATCAATTATAACCACCGTTTTAGAACAAATTGAATCAGGGAGAAATCCAATGCCATTGATAGTTGGGGAGACTATGATTAGTCTTGATGAATTGAAAAGGGACCCAAAAGCACCTTTTTCGCGGTTCTCCAATTCTATTACAGGTAGAAAAATAATATTTTTAATTACAGAAATCAAAATATATATTTTTGTATTGTAATAATAATTTATTTGCATTGCAATTTTTTACAGATGTGGCTAATGGAAAGGCTAGAATTAATAAGCCCTCCAGACGATATTGAGAAGTATACTCCCAATTGCTTCGTGAGGAGGAAGCGCTTCCCTAAGATTAGGCGCCATGGGTGGAGAAAGGTCTTCGAATCTCGCAATTTTGCTATCAAGTGGGTCGTCCCGTGGTGGAAAATAGTAAGGATGGTTGGTGTCAACAAGCAACCTTTCTGCCGGCTTCCAAGTTTGTCTCGTGTGACTTATTATTACCCCTGCAGGGTAAAAAGACAATACGGCTTGCTTCAGAATATTCCTTCCGGGGATCTTCGTCCTCCTTATGAGTAACCTGTTTCTCAAGAAGTAGACAGATTTGATGCTTACTGGAGTGCTAGACCTTTATGGGAAGTGATTACTCAAAATGTTCCTCCTTCTTTGCCCAATGATGTGAAGAAGTGGTTACTGAAGAAACCTTCGAAGGATTCGAAGAAAGATTAGGGTAAAACTGATGTGAAGAGTCGTCTGGGTGACAGGGTGATTCCTGCCAAGGAACGCCTAGGTGCAAGAATTGAATTCAAAACACCTGCAATGCCTAGGAAGAAAAGTGCTACCAAGGATAAAGGGAAAAGGAAAGCTGACACCACAGATAAAAAGGCTTGGGTGGAAAAGAAACATGGAGTACTAGCTGAAGGGGAGACTATCTATTCTAAGATTGAATGTAGGTCCTCTAAAGGATGCCTACTAGCTAAAGTTATGGATGAGGAGGAGGAAGCAGACAAAAATTGGAAAAGGGCTAGAAAAGAAAATAAAGATTAGGGGCATTGCTTAACTTTCAAATTATTAGACTTATTTCATTTAAAGTTAATTTATTTCAGCTTTATTTAACTTCCACCAATAATGTAATTTTATTTTATTAATGAAATTTCAGCTTTTAATTAAATTATTTACTTTAAATTTAATTTATTAAAGCAATGAAAACCGAAAAAATTAATTTTTCAGAAATTCTTCGAGTACGGAAGTCGAAAATTTTCCGAAAAACACCGAGATTTTCCCAGAATTTATTTTCAAATTGGCGCCACTTATTTGCGATTGGCGTCTGCCAGTGCAGTCTGGCGCCAGGCGCCAATTTCATTGGCCGGCACTGATGGTTGTTGGCTGGCGCCAAGTTCTACTCTGCGACGTCGATATTTCGCCGATCTTCTGTTGAATTTTTAATTAAATCTGGGACGCGAGAATGTCGAAAAATAAGGTGGCCTACGTATCCTTTCCTAAGGAATCAGGTCGAACGTAGCTCTCTTGAGTATCCTACTCAAGTAATTATGGGTAGTATTTCTTAAGTTGGTCAAGATTTGTCATGTTCGAGAATTCATTTCCATCCATATCAGTTAGTTTTGCTGCACCTCCTGACAGGATTGTTTTGACAATGTAGGGTCCAGACCAATTAGGTCTAAATTTACCCCTTGGATCTAAAACATTTTTCCTTAGTGCTTTTAACACCAAGTCTCCTAATTTGATATTTCTTGTCTTGACCTTCTTATTAAAATGCCTAGCCATACGAGTCTGGTAACACTGAGTGTGATGTAGAGCTTCTAGTCGTTTCTCATCGAGTAGAATTAATTCTTCATATCGTGCCCTAGTCCATTCAAATTCATCGAGTTTACTCTCTAATGCAATGCGCAGAGATGGTATTTCTAGTTCGACAGGTTGTACGACATCCATTCCATATACCAAGGAAAATGGCGTATTTCCTGTTGATGTACGGATTGACGTGCGGTAACCCCACAATGCGAAGTGAAGTTTGTCAGGCCAATCTTTATAATTTTTCGTCATTTTCTCGATGATAGTCTTTAAATTTTTATTAGCTGCCTCGACTGCTCCATTTGCTTGAGGTCTATAAGGGGAAGAATGATGATGTTGAATGCTGTATTTTTGTAGCAATTCTTTACATTCGGCTTGAAAGTGAGTTCCATTGTCACTTATCATTTCATGTGGGACTCCGTATCGACAAATAATATTTCTCTCGATAAAGAGTGCTACATGTTTTGCAGTGAGTTTAGCGTATGATTGCGCTTTGACCCACTTTGTGAAGTAATCAATTGGTACTAGGATATATTCGTGGCCTCCTGTTCCTGGGGGAGTGATTTTTCCAATGATGTCAATTCCCCGTGTAGAGAATGGCCATGGCGATGTGTAGGTGTAGAACAAGGATGGAGGGACATGTTGTAAATTGGCATAAATTTGGCATTTAGGGCATCTTTTTACGTATTGATGGCAATCCCTATTCATTGTAGTCCAATAATATCCTTTATATGAGTGCCACAGATTCCTTCGTGGACTATTCTCATTGCTCTTTGTGCATCCTTCTTTCCTACACATAAGAGAGCTCGACCCTTAGGTACCCTTTTATGTAGCTCGTTGTCTATGAGTACATATTGGGAAGCTAAAAGCCTTAATGCTCGTTTTGCTCTTTTGTCAGCATGAGGAGGGTATTCTCCTTTGGTGACATAATTGAGTATGTCCGTGTACCACGGTTCTTCTTCTTCTTCTTCTTCGCCTTGGACTACTTCATCGTCTTCTATAGCCTGGATGTATGCTGGTTTGTGTCTTTTTTCTATAATTAGAGGCATTTGCTCGATTTCCGTGGGAATCCTAACCATTGAGGCTAATCTTGCCAAGGCATCAGCAAATTGATTTTCCTCTCTAGGTAGATATGTATATTCTACCTTGTCTAACTGATCAGTAAGAGTTTCCAGATAGGTTTGGTAAGGGGCTAGACTTTCTCTCCTTACTTTCCACCTTTTAGATATCTGATTGACAATCAAAGAAGAGTCTCCGAATATCCTTAACGTTTTTACTCCCAATGCCAAAGCTGTTTCAAGGCCTACCACACATGCTTCATATTCAGCAGCATTGTTGGTGACGTCGAAATCAAGCTTTATGGAGATTGGAACATGTTCTTCTTTAGGTGATACTAGTAGTACTCCGACGCCACATCCCTTTTGGTTTGAGGCTCCGTCGAAGTATAAGGTCCAAGTATCATCTTCAGTAACCATTAAGTCTTCATCTGGAAATTCATTATCTTGCATTGGCTTCGAGTCTTCTATTGGAAAATCTGCTAGAAAGTCTGACACCACGGATCCTTTGATAGCTTTTTGTGGCATGAACCTTACATCAAACTGGGCTAGATTGACTATCCATCTCGATATGCGTCCATTGAGTGTAGATTTCTCAAATAGATACTTGAGTGGATCTAATCGGGAGACTACGAAGACGGTATGCACCAGCATGTGATGTCTTAACTTGGTTGTGGCCCACACCAAGGCGAGGCACAACTTCTCAAGCGGTGTATAGCGTGATTCGTATTCGAGCATCTTCTTGCTTAGGTAGTAGATTGCGTTCTCTTTGCCTTCTACTTCTTGTGCTAGCATAGCTCCCATTGTCTCTTTAGTAACCGTCAAATATAACCTAAGAGGTA